AATGAGGAATTTAGAGTTCAACACCGGCGCTTGAGGAGAAATCGGGATGCGTTGAGAAGCATTTGAGATTGATTTGAGAGTTATGGAGGTCACCGGGAGGTTTAAGATGAATATTTGATGACAAAAGTGTTAGTATATATGTCCTAGCGACAATCACTTTTTAGAGATATATGTACTTGATCACATTCAGTTTTATATATTTGATATATACGGTATTACACATTGATGATTAAGTATTTCGATTGTCAATATCTTATTCATAATTGTGTTCCCTTGGACTTATATTGTCAATAAGTAAGTGAGAGCTTATATGATATAACATAAGGTCCTAAAATAGCCCCAATCAATGATCATCAAGAATGGGATATTGATGATATGCGATAAGATTGGTATGTGGATTGCATCATACTTTTAGAAAGTATAGTTGATCTCACAACTATGGGTTCCTGTAATTCATGATGGTCACATAGATATTTCCGAGAATATTGGCATACCCACCGAGAAACCATTTGATAAGTTCTATTCATGTGTCTATGGGATTATCGGCGTATAGAGTAGTGTAGTAGTCCTCTGACTTGAGGTCAATACGTACTACATGTGCGGAGTGATGTACTTTGACCATGACCAACGCTTGCACTCCAATCGGGGTAGATACGGCATGTGTTGGGTGCATCACGAAGCACATGGAGTAGTAGTTGAGCCAAGAAAGGATTCATTCCTCATAATAGATTAAGAGAGAACATTCTACTTCTCATATTTAGATGGATCATAAAGTCATTGGCTAATGCAAAGATATATTCATTTTGGATATCGAATATGATCGTTATGGATCATCTAGAAAATTGAGAGACAGAGACTATATAGTGTAAAAATGGAGTCACAAACCAATTAAAAAGACATGACCTAAATTCATAATAAATGAAACTAGTTACTATACATATTTGTGTATGAAAACAATTTAAAGCTTATTAAATTTCCTAGTATAATTAAAATTAGGATAATTAAATGAATATGTCACACGTCATTGAGTAACAATCTTTGTTTACAAAAAAATATTAAAGAAAGAAAGTTTGATGCATTTGGAACTAATTATGTTTTTTTCCCGAAATATGACCGAAAATCGAAAAAAAAAAGAATTTTTCGTTATATTAAATTGTGGAAGGACAAAAATACCTTTTTTTTTTTTTAAAATATGCATTTTTCACTAATTTCGTCCGGGTAAAAATATTGCACTTCATGAAGGCGTTATTGCACTACTTTTTTTTTATTACCCCGGAAGGTAAACCACCCATATGGTGGGGCAAAAGTATAAGACAACATTTTAAATTAGTTAACAAAATATCCAACCACAAATCTATAAATTAAACAACACACAACCTATACGGGCGTAGTGGGCTTCTTGACACTTGGGCCGCTGTGTTTGGGCCTTGGATGCTCCTTGGGCTTGCGTAGGAGAAGTAGGAGTCTGTGGGCCGGGGGTTCCTGGGCCATATACTCGATCAAGAGTGTTAAGACATTTTGATCAAATTAAAAATTCAATCATCTATATGAATTAAAAATGTTTAATCTCATTAATATTTAATCCATTTTCAGCATTACGAATTAAATATTATTTAATCCAATTAATAATATTTAATTCCTTCTAACAATTCAATCGGAAGGTATAATCACTTGTTGTGTGACCCATAGGGCCTTATACATTAAGCACTAATCAAATTAAGGCCTTAGCAGAATCCCTAGACGATTTACCAGACAATCTTAATATATAAGGACGTTTGCGAGGACTATTCAAACTCCCTGTAATATAGAGCTCATAGTGATACGGTCCTTTCATTCAACGAACATTCAACTAAGTCTAGAACATGATATTGTGTCTATTCTAATAACTTAGAACATCTCGAGTTCATTAATATGATCGCCTCTCTCTCTCTCTTACTTGTTTGCTCTGACTTCTCTCTAGGTTATTCTCATAATAACCCCCCGGATAAGCTACCCCCTAGGCACACTGTCCATCATTTGGTGCTCTCGTTGAGAGGTTCGAACAATCGAGTGAGAAACCCTCCCCTTCACCAAACACAAAAACACCTACCAAAATGGGAAGAACTCGTGGTCAGTCCAAAACCCTCGAGGAGAACCACGTAGCCCCCGGCGAAACCAACGGGGCCGAAGCCTCCAATAGTCTCTTGGTACCCGAAGGCGGTACCATCCTCGAATTGGAGCAGGCCGCTACTGACCTCCGTCAGCAGCTGCAGAAGGCAGCCCCCGATGCTCGTATCGGCCTTGATAACCGAAGGAGGGACCGAAGTGAGAACCAAGTTCCCCCTTCGGCTCCAACCATCGACCTTCAGGCCACCATTGCGGCCTTCGTCCAAAACATGGCGATGAATTCTGGTGCCTTCATTTCACAGGCACCCCTCCAACCCTATTTCGGGGGAAATGCTGTCCATTTTCCGATGCCCCCTCCTCTGTTCAACAATCCCACCATGCGGATTGGCAACGCCGAGGGGGTCATGGCACAGGACACGGCCTCCCAATAGGCTCAATCCAAGGACAAACGACACATGAACAAGGAGAAGCCCCGAACCTCTGCCCTCGAGAGGTTGGGGGAAGCCCTTGGACGCCGAGGGTCCAAGAACGCCTCGGTGGCAAGGCAATCAGTAGGCCTTAGGAGAGCGGAGGCTCCGTCTCCGGGGCCGAGGAGAGATCTCCCCCTCGGGATAAAGGCAAAGGCCTCCTCCACGCAGATTGATGTGTGTTTTCTCGCACTTAAAAAGATTGTAATATAGTGATGAAAGTACGAGTATTGTCTCCACAGGGACGGACAAAAGGGAGATAAGAATTAACTAAATTCAGCGATTAAAAAGAAATAAATAAAATAAAATGCTATGTGCGAAATTGGTTGGTTGAATTAAAATTAAAACTAATGCAGATGAGCGATTAAAATAAATGTGGTTTTCTTATTAATTAACGACGAAGGGAACATGGATTGATTCCGGGGTAACCAGATTTCCGGCAGAACAAGCCTAATTACATAAATTTACTTTAATTGAGCCTAGCTAATCATTACTAAGTTCTTACCGCTCTCGCGGCGTAGAGTACAATAATTTAGGGGACCAGGCTGATCTCTCATGCGACAGGATCCTAAATTATTGCCAAGACAAGCGAGCTTACGGCCCCTTAATCGTTACTAATCTCTTAGCGAACGATTAAGTGTGTGTAATGTGTCCTAAAATAAACTAGATCTCTCTTAATTTATTCTACAAGCAATTGTAATTCTAGCCGCGGTTCCAGGTTACAAAAGATATCAGTTAAATTATTCAAACACAAATTAAACGACATTCATGCAATTAAACCGACAAGAATCTAGCCATCAATCATGATTAACCCTTTCATCAATCCCAAACCCCTAATTAAACTACTCACAATTCATAATTGAAGAATCAACAGAATTGGGAGGAATAGAAATAATTGTCATTAATTAAAAAGATGAACTTACAAATAATCCCAGGGTCTTGAAAGAAAATAGCGTAAAAACGATGTTAAATTCGTCCCTAGGCCTCTCCGTAATGTTCGTCACCCCCAAAAAGGGGTATGGAGACCTTATTTATAGAAAACAGATGAGTTTGGGCTGAACTGTGACTAAAAAGAGGCTGAAATCCGCGTCTCGGGTGTACGCACGATCGTGCGTGGCCTGGTACGCACGATCGTGCGTACATGGCAGTAGCTTCACGGTCATTTTTCGCTCTTACGCACGATCGTGCGTACTTCTACGCACGGTCGTGCGTCCATGTTTTTTCAGCATTTTTCTACTCCGAATTTGACAAAACTTCCTTCATGAAAGTTGTAGATAATGAAGTCCTCTATCCACCCCAATTTGCAGAATGTGATTTGAATCATCCAATCAAGAGATATGATCAAAAAGGTGGAAGGTGTCATTCTGAAATCGCAGCAGAGATCATCTGACTTCTTTTCATGAATTAAAAGACATGACCTAAATTCATATTAAATAATGTATTGTTATTCATTTAAAACATTCAAAATTACATGATTAAATGTCGCTCACTCGCTCCCACATGCAGGTCACGAAAATATCCAGTCCCTAAAATAAGTTTGTATAATATTCCATTAAATATTTAATTGTTAAAATAAACACTAAAGAACCCTGAAATGATTTTTTCAGTATGAAATCTAGGTAATGGAGAATTAAGTGTGGCGACGTGATACTATACGTGAATAGAGTGCGTCAGTGCGTGTAGAATCTAAAATCTAGAATATTATTGATTTTTAGTTGCAATGGTTTAATTTTTATGCGGCCCTTTAAAAATTTACCTTGACCATATTTTACTTTCCAGAGTGTTAAGACAATTTGATCAAATTAAAAAAATTCAATTTTAATGCTTTTTCTCATCACTACTTAAATACTCCCTCCGTCCCTAATAACTTTGCCAAGTTTGACCGGCACGAGGATTAATAAAGTAAAAACTGTGTGGTTGAGGTTTGTGCAGAAGAGAGAGAATTAACTGGAACCACAAATTCTTTACTTAAATGGGAAAGTGGCAAAGTTAATGGGACATCCAAAAAAGGAAAGTTGGCAAAGTTATAAGGGACGGAGGGAGTATACAGAGTATTAATGATCAAATTTGTTACTCCTCCGTATTTAAAAGTTCTCTACACTTTCCTTTTAGAATGTATTTAAAAGTTCCCTACATTTTCCCCTTTTAGTAAGTTTTTCCTTTACCCTTAATTTTTATCCTCTCTCTCCTACTTTTTATATACTATTCATTACCCTTACTATTCTACCTTAAATCTTGTGTCATAATGAAACATAGCGATCTTTTAAATATGGAGGGAGTATTAACCCAAAATTTAAATAAATGTTTTAAAACTAAGCTAAATAGTAAGTTAGGGGAGAAAAATCAAATGCCAAAAAGAAAGTGTCTGTATAACCTAATAACCCCCACATGTTCACAACATACATATATACATACATATCAAAGACTCTAAGTAATGCTTACTCCGTATATATTTATCTATTGAGATCAGGACATCAGGTAGCTATTTGATCGACCCTTTCCCATGGCGGTCTCTTTGTTTATTAACCATTTTCTCATTTTCTTCTTCCTCTTCTTCATCCTTGACAATAGTCATGCTTTGAGGAGTAGCTTTTTCTTCAACAACAATGTGGTGTGGTCAAGTAACGCAAAAAACTCGCCGCCACTGCCACAAGCAATTGGAGTAATGAATGGGCATGAGAAGGACGACGATGTCGTCTGGGTAAGTAAATTTTATTACCAGCGGAAGCAGCTGCTGGAGGAGAAATTGCCGGAAAGCATTGACAGGGGACGCTCACCCTCACCCCCACCACCACCCAAGCCATCACCTGGCAGCCACGAGCCGAGACGCCCGGCGGCGGCTCCGATGGCCGATAAGATATCTGAAGATGAGGGTAAAACTCTTCAGGCGGAGGAGCTGACTACCAATCCATAAGTATTGGAGTACCGTACATAGCTTCGATCGATCACTCAATTAATGAGGAGAAGATCGAATTGTGTTTAATTCGTTTTGTTCGTGAAATATTCTACTTAAACATGTTTTATTTGGACAGTAATTTTCAGGAATCATCTCGTTTGATATATTTTAATCTCATTTATTTGATCTGATTTGATCTGTACAAGTTGGATCTAACTCAAAAATATACAGGTTGACCTTTTAGGAGTATTTGATCATATTTAATACTTTCTTTTAGGGTTGTCCCAAAATGAGTGTCTACTTTCTTTTTTTAGAAAGAAATATGTGGTCTACATCATTTCTCTTTATAATACTTAAACCCCAACCACCAGGGGCGGAGCCAGGATTCGACCGAGAGGGGGGCTGGGGTAAAATAAAAAATGCAGTAGTAAACATATTACGTATAAAAGTGCTATAATATTAAATAATGTATTGTTATTCATTTAAAACATTCAAAATTACATGATTAAATGTCGCTCCCAGGGGCGGATCTAGGCTAAGGCTAGGGAGGGCCTAGACCCACACTCAAAAAAATAAAAATTACTAGTATATATATTATGTACGAAGTATTTATTTATATAAAGTGATTCATTTAATAGGGGATAATACTAGCTAAAGTCAAATATTTAACATTTGTTACGTTGGCCTGATGGAAGTGAACTGAGCGTTTGGTGCAGCATAAGGTCTGGAGTTCGAACCCTAGGTACTTAATTTTTTAGTGCAACACGTACTGATTTTTTTATTAGTATTTCAAAATTTTCAATTTTCTTTCCAATATCTCTTTATTCCACATACATTTGATCTTGATCAATTTTATAAATTGGACTTTTGAATATTAATCTGAAATATTAATCAGGTCAATTCATTGGGTTTTTGAATATTGGCCTGAAAAATTAATTAGTTCAATTCATTGTGCTTTAGAGTATTGGTTTGAGATTAGTTTAATTCATTTGACATTTGAATATTAGTCAGAAAAATTTATTAATTCAATTCATTGAACTTTTCAATATTGACTTTGAAAAATTAATAAGTTCAATTCATTGTGCTTGGTGAGTGATATTTAATTAGTTTTTTTTAAAGAGACTACACTATAGAGTCAATAGAAAACTGGTTTTCGAGAAATTGACTTTTAAAATTAGTATTGAACATTTCAGTAGCCGAGCCAATTTCGGTTCGGGTTGTCTACAACTTTTAAAATAATTAAATTGTCTGTTCTGTAATATTTTTTTTATTTGACATTTCTGTAATATTATTTAACTACTTTTTTTCATTTTGACATTTGTTTCAATATACGTTATTTAATTAAAATTTGGCCCACCCTCAACGCAAATGCTAGATCCGCCCCTGGTCGCTCCCACATGCAGGTCACGAAAATATCCAGTCCCTAAAATAAGTTTGTATAATATTCCATTAAATATTTAATTGTTAAAATAAACACTAAAGAACCCTGAAATGATTTCTTCAGCAGGGAAAGTTAACTTAACTCAAGTCTTAATTTCATCTCTAAATAAACTACCAATATATATATAGTATATACTAGCACTTCTTAAATAATTAATAATTGCTTAAATACACACTCCTAAATTGTATGAAGTACGTAGTAATAAATTATTTCCTTCAAATTTGGGCTTATTTAGCTAATAACTTAAGCTCTTATTTACTCAATTATAAAAGAATCAAAATTTAAATGTAAAAACAAAGAGTTGAGCGCATGCCTTTGGTAGCTTGGTTTGTCCTCTCTGCTACACTTAGAGGTGACCGGGCTATGGATGCTAAAGAATAACATATTAACATGGTGAGGGTTAAAAATAAAAAAATTAATACTAGTCAATAAAAAATGAAAAGTTGGGAGGGGCCATAGCCCCCATAGCATTGAGCATAGCTCCGCCCCTGCCAACCACAACTTTTACTTTTCAACCACTTTATTAATAATCGTGTCAAGTCAAATAAGACACATAAAATGGAACGGATGTAGTATAAATTTTGCATCAGTTACTGAATATACTAACAGTATATAAACACCTTAAACAGTATATGATGTTACTAATATTATAAGTGAAAGTATTTATATAATATTTCATTTTTTTAATAAGCATCATATTCATATCAACATCCATGTAATTTAATATACGCAGTACATTTTATATTTCGTTAAAAATTGTTTGTTTTAAAATAATAATTCTAATTCTATGTTAACGGGGTATTCCAGGGTTGACTGACCAGGTCTAGGCTGACGCGCGACCCTGTCGTTTGACCGGGTCACTTCCTAGCCCGATTTTTGGAACCTAAATCCCAACCCTCACCCATGAAATCTCTTGACCCGCACCCCCATAGGCCATAGGGCCCCACCATCAGGCAGGAGAGGAAAAACACTCATGGTAAAAGTCTTCCAACAGTTTTCTCCGGATTATGCCACTCACATGTCACATACGAAGTATACTGAAGCTAATACTGTACTACGTATACAACAACTTCAGGAATGAGCACAAGAATAATAATTAACGCTTAAATTATTGGCAATCACCTTCCCTCAATAACATAAATTTTCAATTAGTTTATACCAAAATTACGTATTCACTCTGTCCAATCAGTTTATTTTTTCTCTGCAATCCGACACCGTCAATATATTCACCTAACATAATTTTTTTAGTTAAATCATTACTTTTATACTATGTATATGCTATATGGATCTCATATGAAAGATCATAAAAAAATATAAAATTTGATATGACTTTTATAAAAATTGGAATACAAATAAAAACGTTATACTACTTTTAAAAAATATTCATTTTTTATCATTAACTCTACCACATACTTTTTGTCCACCTGGCCACATGTTTCTTCTGTTTTTTCTCTCCCCTGGATTGAAAAGTGTGTTGGTAATTCCCCACTCAAGGCTGTCATAGACCCATTACCCTAGATTGCAAAACAACAAAAAGAAATCTGACAATCGTCATCCCGCGAACCACACTCGAAATTAATCAACTCCAGAGAAGCAATATAATTCGTTGATATTGGGGTGAATAGATCACACATATATATGCTTTTCACTCCTAGATTGCAAATGGTCTTAAGGCGAGGAGTATTTGTATGCCTTTGAATTAGCATCTTTCATTTTTCATTGGGATGGCAATGAGCAGGGTCGTCTAATCAATTTGGAAGCCCCGGTTCAAATGGTGAATTGAAGCCCTTAAAATAAGAAGAAATGTACTCCGTAACATTTAACATTGAAATACAAATAGACTAGATAGTTCAATGAAATATAAATTTTAGGAAAAATTGATAGTAATAATCCCAACTATTAGCGGTCCGCTTATAATAATCCCAACTATTGATTATTTTAGAATAATCCCAACTTTAGGGACCTTCCGCCAATAATGGTCCCTAAGAATAAATTATTGTAGTTTCTAAAGAAGATGAGAAGAGATATAGCAAGTAATGCCTATATATAATCACAACTTTTAATTTTTACACTTAATTTCTATTTAAAATTAAATTTTTATAGGAGTTAAATCTAATCATGGACCATTATTAGCGGACGGTCCCTAAAGTTGGGATTATTCTGAAATAATCAATAGTTGAGATTATTATAAGCGGACCGCCAATAGTTGGGTTATTACTATCAATTTTTCCTAAATTTTATGATGTTTAAAGTACACAAATTAGAGAATTTAAAAGTGATATACCTTTTGGAATCTTGAATAATACCTAACATCTACAAAAAGGGATAAGGGTCAGTTTGGTCCTCGAAGTTGCAAAAAAGGGGTCAAATAAGTCCTTATATAGAAAATTCTGTCCGGATGTGCCATTTGAGGTGGCTCCCGGTGGAATTTTTTGATTAAATTTTTTGAGCATCTTATTCATTAAGTCTAGTTTACTCATACCAAATTTCAGATAAAAATTCAATCGGGAAGACATTCAAATGAATTTTTGAAGATAACTGTGCCGTTAAAAGCGCAGTTATCTTCAAGAATTCATTTGAATGTCTCCCCGATTGAATTTTTAGCTGAAATTTGGTATGAGTAAACTAGACTTAATGAATAAGATGCTAAAAAAATTTCATCAAAATATTCTACCGGGAGCCACCTCAAATGGCACGTCCGGACAGAATCTTCTATATAAGGACTTATTTGACCCCTTTTTTGCAACTTCGAGCACCAAACTGACCCTTTACTCTCTACTAAAATCAACCTATACCTAATACTAAATTCTGAATTTTTGGAGACGCCCGATAAGAGTAGGCTCCGGTGCCAATAAGCACTTATTGCACCTCCTAAAAGATGGTTCTGGCAATGAGGCAGGTTCACTCCTAATGCCTCGCCCCTTAAAAGGGTATTTTCTAAGACTGTGATTCATGCGTCTACATAACCAATTTAAGGGACTTTTTACCCCATTTCTAAGAAAGCAGGAAATAGTGCTACGTATCAGAGGGCTGAACCAAATTTCGGATTCTCTAATCCGGTTTTGAAACTTCATAATTTCATTGCTTTGTGTTAGAATTTCACACCGGAAAAGTTTGAATAAACAATGTGCTATATTAAGATTTGAGTTACTCCTCCTATTAGGTTAACCTTTTAGAATGGAACCCCAAGTCTTAACATGATATCAGAGCCAAATCGATCAATGGTGTGGGCCCTTTATGAAAAATGACGACACGATTATAAAAAAATTACAATGACGAACCGACGAAAAAATGAATGACGACACGATCCAGACAAAGTGTTCGGTCGTGAGGAGGGGTGTTAGAATCGCACACCGGAAAAGTTTGAATAAACAATGTGCTCTATTAAGATTTGGGTTACTTCTCCTATCAGGTTAATCTTTTAGGATGGAACCCCAAGTCTTAACACTTTGGGATTTAATGAATCCCACTTTATCACTGCTACTTCAAAATGGGTTGAGAGGGATATATGAATTACAGTGGCATCAATGCATCGCGGAGAGTTACGAAATAATAATCCGATATTCAAGTTTGATTTTCAATTTAAAATCGGTTAACAACTCCCAATATGGCCTGCGAGCAGCGGTCGTCTCCTTTCTTTTAGGGTTTTCTTCTCCCGCAGCCTTTGTCGTCGCTGGGGGATGGTGCGGGTTTGTTTGATTTTATGGTGTGCCTTGGGGCTGATTCTGCGGGGCTCTATGATTGATTGTCCTCTTCTTTTGAGGTTGTGGCTTGAATCGTTGATTCGACGATTCCAACTGTGTTTGTGTTC